TGGCACACAAACTGCATTGCTATCATCTCCCAAAATGTAATTATGAAGTCTGTAAAGAGGAGAAAATACTGTACCAGGCAGATCAAGCTCACTGTTCGCAATGCTCGAAATAGAGGAAGACAAATATGTGGGGGTTTATATGAATGTACCTCTGAGAGGAACTGACCATCTTCAGAAATGTCTCGATGGCATTTTCTTTTCCTCTTACCTCCATATAATGCATATTAAAGGGTTAGTTCACCTGAAAATGAAAATTATGTCATTAATTACTCACCCTCATGTCGTTTCAAACCCATAAGACCTTCGTTCATCTTCAGAACACAAATTAAGATATTTTTGATGGAATCTGAGAGCTGTCTGACCCTGCATAGACAGCAACGCAACTGAAATGTTCCCAAGTTCAGAAACGTAGCAAGGAGATCTGTAAAATAATCCACGCTAATATCGCTACGTTTCCATAAACTCCACCTGCTGTCAGAGAATAAATGTTCATTTTCATTCAGTCCGTCTGTGGTTTTTGTTTTATGCAGGTGTTTTATGTAGCATAATTTCATAAATCTAAAGTCAGACCATTCTGTTTTTGCTTTAAATCTTGAAATTATATAATCTAATTCAAATCAAACACAAGTGCTTGTGCTACATGTATGTAGCACTACTGTCTGTACAAAATAAATGAAAAAATACATTTCCTGTTGTACCAAATTCGTATTCGAACTCGTATCGTGACAGGACGGGATAGGATGAATATAAGAGACAGCTCTCAGATTCCATCAAAAATATCTTAATTTGTGTTTCGAAGATGAACGAAGGTCTTACGGGTTTGAAACGAAACGAGGGTGAGTAATTAATGACAGAATTTTCATTTTTGGGTGAACTAACCCTTTAAAGTAGTGTTTATAAGTGCAGCTGCTTTGTTTACCGCGGTAACCAAGGAAACGCTAATATCGCTACGTTTCTATAAGCTCCACCTGCTGTCAGAGAATAAATGTTCATTTTCATTCAGTCCGTCTGCGGTTTTTGTTTTATGCAGGTGTTTTATGTAGCATAATTTCATAAATCTAAAGTCAGACCATTCTGTTTTTGCTTTAAATCTTGAAATTATATAATCTAATTCAAATCAAACACAAGTGCTTGTGCTACATGTATGTAGCACTACTGTCTGTACAAAATAAATGAAAAAATACATTTCCTGTTGTACCAAATTCGTATCGAACTCGTATCGTGACAGGACGGGATAGGATGAATATAAGCTGGCACAGGACAGAACAGGGTAGGATATGATGGGGTTGGATGGGATGTATGATTGAATAGTGATACGATGGGATACAGGATAAGGCAAGGATAGGATCGGATAAAATGGGACAGGACAGAACAGGATAGGATTGGATTGGGATAGGAAGGGATATAGGATAGAATACAAAAGGATAAGATATGATAGCAGTGTTGTAGCACTCAATTCCGGACTCAGACTCAAGTCTGTCTCAAGTCCAAGACCATATTTTCATCTGGTCTCGATGAATAACTGAAAATATGGTCTTGGACGCGTACTTGAGACATAAATCAAAAGATTTATGCTCTTAATTGCTGACCTGTGCCTGACCTGTCTCTCTCTCTCTCTTTCTGTTTCCATCCCTTCACGACTCCTTTCTTACATTTAAGTTAAATTCCAAATGCCATTGTTCTAAATGGAAGTGATCAATCAAATCCTTTTCAAAAATCTGTTAGTGAAGGGTATGATGGTCACTGGTCATGAATTTTGCCATTTATGATCATGTGATCCTGAGTGGCGCATCCTTGTTCTTTATTTTGAAAGATGAGGTATTTGAAATAAATAATTCAATACAAATACATATATACATTTGATAAAGATATAATTAATACAATTACATAAAATATAAATAGATTATAATTAAATAAAAATATAAATCGATACAATCCGTCCCTAATAACACCCTTCTGGGTGAGTAGAGCATATGATGCTCACTTTTGAATTAGGCAGTGGATGTTTCTTGTATATCTTCCTGTCACAGATACACAAAGAAAAATGCCATCTTTGAAAATTTAGTTGTTTCAATTGTAGAAATTAGATTAAATGTAGAGTAAATAGTTAAATATGGTGCTTCTCAAACTTCTCTACTGAAAAAAAGTCCCCAGTAATCTCACATATGTCTCAAACTGTGCTCAGATTTGCCAAGATGCCAAGGAATTTTAGAACAAAGAGAGCTGATACTTTGAAATGATATATAAACGAGTCTATTAAATCTAAGGTTATGAAAGAGCAACATCTGCACTACAATATTTCCATGCTGACCTTGAATTATGATTGTAAAAATGAAAACAACCCATTATTTAATCTATTGTTTTAATTACAATAAAATCCATTGTGAGGCCTCAGCACTTGTTCACACTTTTGGCCATCCAAACAATTTACGATCGGATGTTAAATATTACATTTGGTCATTCTTTTGAAATATGAAAACAATGTCCTGTGCTCATTTTGTAGAACCTGACCAGTTAAACATTGTTTTATCTATATATGTCCTTCTGTGTTCTCAGACAGAGACTGAGTCACGGCTCCTCGCAGCCAGGCGTGGCTTACACATGCTCACACACCTGTTTTCAGCCATATAGAGAGGAATGTGTCACATGCAACCACACTCAGCAAATATTAATATTACTCAAAGCCATGGGGATTCCCACAGGCTTTGTTGAAGAATCAGACCGTCCCCTATGGTCAAAAGGTCACTCAATGAGTCAAAAGGTCACTCAATGAGAGTGAACTGCAGAAAACAAGATATTAACTGAACTGATTTCTAACATTTAATTTCATATCATTTAAAAGCATTAGCAATACTATAGCAATGTATCTACTAAACAATGAAAGAAAATATAAAAATGTATGTGTCGTTCACACTGACAGCTATTTGTAGAAGAAATGTGACCAGAAATCATTCATTTTTAGAGGTGGCGACATGAGTGACAGGTGATATTTTATGTACAAACGTGACATTATGGGCAACTGTCATTGGGAATTTAAACAGTGAAGCACTTGTGACAGGATAGTCAAACTGGAATGACTACTAGCAACCAACAGTACAGTGATTTGGGGGCCTCCAGTCATTATTCAATGTCAGTCAGGGTGTGAGTTATGGGGGTTTACGGGACCCTGATTCCTCTAATTAAAGCTCGACCCACCCTAAAACAAATCAAGACTACAGTTAAGAACTATTACAAGTATTTGTGTTTTCATAATTCATGTAAGTACATATTATACATTTCAACAGCAATTTCAAATGTTTCAGTAACCACAACAGTTAGGTTGCTACACTCTAAAAAAAAATGGTGCTATATAGCACTAAAAGCGGTTCTTTGGCTCGTAATCATAGGGGAACCACTTTTAGTGCTATTTAGCACCTATTTTTACAGGTGCTATATAGCACCTTTGTCAAATGGTGCTATGTAGAACCATAAGAGGTGCCATATAGCACTTTGTCGAATGGTGCTATGTAGAACCATAAGAGGTGCCATATAGCACTTTGTCGAATGGTGCTATGTAGAACCATAAGAGGTGCCATATAGCACTTTGTCGAATGGTGCTATGTAGAACCATAAGAGGTGCCATATAGCACTTTGTCGAATGGTGCTATGTAGAACCATAAGAGGTGCCATATAGCACTTTGTCGAATGGTGCTATGTAGAACCATAAGAGGTGCCATATAGCACTATTTTTTTGTACAGGTTTTATGGTAGTGGTGCTATATAGCACCTCATCGACTCCAAAGAACCGCTGAAGAACCGCTGAAGAACCATACAGGGGCTTAACAGGTTCTTTACACGGTAGTGGTGCTATATAGCACCTTAACCACTCCAAAGAACCGCTGAAGAACCGCTGAAGAACCTTTTTTTTTTAGAGTGTAGTTATTTAGCGTACACTAAACACTCACAAACCTTTTAGTGTTTTGTTTAGTTTAGAAGTTATATCTAACACAAAGATATTTGGGTCACACAAGAAAAAAACATGACAGATTGCATTCCAAAAAAGTACACTGAAAGTCACTGAATAATTCATGCGATGCTGTGAATGCTCATTTACATATCGTCTATTACATATACATAGCATTTGAGAATATAGAAAACAAATGGCTGCATTTTTTTCACAACTAACTTTCCCTTTCTTTGCCACGTTCATTATTTAATGTTTAACTAGTCCCAGGCTGATTTTTAGTGAATGTAGGAAGTCAATTCCCCTCAAGTTCACACAGGAGTCCAATTAACAAGGTGAAGTTCACTGCATTAACTAAAGTATGACCATGTTAGCCTAATATTTTACAACTAGAGAGTATCTAAATGCATTTCATCTTCATTTTGAACAAGATATATCATTTAAAACCAAACAAACAACTTCTTGATATCTTTGGTTGTGCCTGCAAAGTGTGTTTGGGCTATATTTCTTTCAAATAAATGCCATTTGATTTCACATTTTGTTACCTAATGCAATGACAGACATTTTATTTTCCAAAATGAACAGTTCGATATATGTTTTGCTTATTTCTCAGCGTTCGAGGTAATATAGCCAGTCTCGCTCTGAATGTCGTAACTACACCACATAAAACTATATTTGCAGAAGTGAGAAAGACATCTGAGTAAAAAACGCCACATAACCATAGAAAGTGCCACACTAACACGTCTTTAATATATTAAACAAACTTGGTCAAGTCTAGACTAAGAAAAAGGCAGAACTTCATCAGAATTGTATCGCTAAATAAAATATCTCTGTCGATAATTGTACTTCATTTAAGTCAGTGTACCATTTCTTACTAATAAGCGTGATGTCAAGAGCGTTAGAGAGGTGGTTGTGTTGTGACACCTGAATTTGTGTGAGATGCCTGCCGTTGTGAGAGAGAGTGGCTTACCTGTTCTGTTCTCTCTTGCACGGAAGTGCATATAAAGGTTGGGCAGGTAAGCGCACGCGCTGAGTCTGACTGTCCAGGTGAGCTCAGACCTGCTCGCGCTGCATGATCGCATCCCGCGTTTGTTTGCGTGTGAATATGAACTGTCTTTTTTTCTCCTGTGATCAGAAACCGTGAGGACTAATGGGGATTGTTTCACTCTACCTTGTCCTTCACTTCTGGCTTGCCACTGTCGGAGGTAAGACTGAGGGAAAATTTCATCAATCACACACATACTTACAGTAGCCTACATACGAGCAGTTTCGTTCCTCGTTCAGCTTTTAATTCCGGCTTTAAACTTATTAATCATTTGGGACAATTGAAGGCAAAAGTTCGGCAGGCTTTTTTTCTAGCCCATTTACTTCATTATGTTAATTAAAGTATTTGTTTTAAAAGATTTAGTTATTTTGAAAATCTGCATCAATATAACAACACCTTATTTAGATTATGTAAATCTGTCAATTAAAATGTTCTGTGGAGATAGTTTCTGTTATTTACATTTAAATTGTTTAATATTATGAGCTTCGCCTCGTGTTTTCATGAGAAATATGTAAATAGTTCTTGTTACTGTAATTATATAAATATTCATTATATGAAGATTCACAAAATAATCACATTCAAATGTCTCTTAAAACTTGGTACATGAAACACAACAAGTGTTACTGTCAACTAATTGTTCATTTTAATAGAGGAACAAACTTATCCTGACATCACAAAACAATGATATGCATAAAAATGGTAAACAGTCCAAAAAAAAAAACATAAATGCTACCATTCATGCCCCAGTGCATGCTGGGAGGACAGAGAATGGGACTGAACCACAAACCCACTTTCTTTTTCTAGTGTAAGCATATTTGAACTTACAAATGTGTCAGTTCATCTCACCTGCTGTTTATAGATTTCACTTAAAAAGACCTCATATTGTTGTAATAGAAAAGTAAAGCTGCAGTTCATGCAAGTGAAGAAAAACAACAAATTGATTTAAGAATAATTTTTAGTGTACTTTTAGTCTACTTGTTGCTCAGACTACTTTTTGGCAGAGAGCAAAAATATCAGCTGACTTTCTATGGTTTTAATGTTGCGTGAGAAACTTTGCAGCATTGAGAAAAGCGAACCGCATCCACAAACCACGCTGTGCTGTGTCGTGTGTACAGGGATGTGTTCTCAATTTAACGCTCTCTCCTGTGACGAGTGTCTGCAGCTGGGGCCACAGTGCGCCTGGTGCACACTACAGGTAATACGACTGCTTTTGCTTTCAACATTTTTCAGAATGCAGTGAAAAAACTCTTTATATACTTTATATACTGTAGCAACAATGATAGTAAATTATTTTTCACGTCCTCTTTTTAATTTATTAAAAAAATTGCCATCAGGAAGGTGCATAGAACACCAAAATATATTTTTAAGAGAGGTTTTGTCCCATTGTCAATTTTGAATAATTATTTTTTTATTATAATTTTTAGTTTAACTGTTTTAGTTAATTATGTCACTATGCAACACTCTAAAGTGTTACCAACAATAATTAAAATGACTGTTTATCTAGAATTTCACCGACTTTTTCTCAATCGACGAGAGATGCGACACACCAGAGGCTCTTCTTCAGAAGGGCTGCTCCGGCGAATTTGTGGAGTTCCCCGTCACGAATGTCAAAGTGCTGAAGGATCAAGGCTTAGGAAAGAGTGCCAGCCACACTAATGTTTCATACATCGCACCGCAGAAGATGCACCTCCAGCTTAGGCCAGGTATAAAAATGGGTGACACAGATTTGAAAATCAAAGAAATGTCTCTCTCTACCCACAGCTGCTCCTCTGCTGTTGAGGTACTTCCCCTGATGGTAAGATTAGAAAGATTTAGTCATTCAGAGACAGAAAACCAACTATAGATTAACTACATAATGTCTACAGATTATAGTGGGTGCCGAAGATCACTCTGACCTGGAAAACATTTGTACCACACTGGAATCTTAAAATGTAAACTTGTGCCATTTTGAGCTTTATTTGTCATTTCTCCTCTACAGGAAGTCAGCTGACCTTTCAAATTCAAGTGCAGGAACCGGAGGACCATCCGGTGGACATTTATTACCTGATGGACCTGTCAGCGTCTATGATTGATGATCTGAAAATGATCAAAGACTTGGGTTCGACGCTCTCCAAAGAGATGGCTAAGCTTACCAGCAAATTCAGACTAGGATTCGGTTCCTTTGTGGAGAAACCAGTTCTGCCTTTCATCAAGATAACACGCGAAGAGTTGGCCAATCCCTGCAGGTGATTCCCATAATACACCAGCTTAGCCAGATCTGAGGGGTCTGCAGTATAAACCCAAGAAGTAAGATGGATGGGACATCAGTGGGGGGAAAGTGTGATTTAATTTCAACCAATCATATTTATGACCTCTGAGATCAGTGATTTACGTCACATGACATCATCTTCCATTTAGAAGTGAGCGATGAACCGTTTCAGACAATAGAAACCCATTTGTATCCCTTTTCTCTTTTGCAGGAGTGTTGATTATGAATGTCTCCCCACATTTGGATACAGACATCTTCTGTCATTAACAAGCAGTACTGACAAGTTTAATGAGATCATCTCAAAGCAGCAGGTATCGGCGAACATGGACGTGCCAGAGGGCGGTTTTGACGCCATCATGCAGGCTGCGGTGTGCGGAGTGAGTCGGTTTCCACAGACTCCCTTGAAATCCTTTGCTTTTATGGAGGGATGTCATTTTGTTCCAACTTCTGGAAATGTCCCTCTCAACGCAGGACAAGATTGGCTGGCAGAACAATTCCATGAAGCTGCTGGTGTTCGTGAGCGATGCAGATTCTCATTTTGGGATGGACAGCAAAATGTCCGGCATCGTTGTCCCCAATGACGGAGAGTGTTACCTGGATGACAACAATGAGTATTCCATGACTGCCCATCTGGTAAGGTGAAGTCTGCAGCTTCAATTCCTGAGTAATCAGGAAATTTGGATCACTTAAAGGAATACTCCGGGTTACAATAAATAGAAATGAACCTCAATGGACATTTTTCATTTGATACTAATAAAAAAGAGGCTGTGAGGGATAGATGTAGTTTTTGGAAACACATATCTTCAGTATTTCACTCACGGCCTTGTTTTCATTTGCATCAAAGAAAACCAGGGCTGCTGCGCATCGTCAAGAAAGCTTATCATTTGCACATTTGCAAGCCTTAAGCCAATAATATAATATAATATAATATAATATAATATAATATAATATATATGTTTTTGTAAAGCTGCTTGAAAATATTTTTATTTTAGGCAAAAATATTAATATAAAATTTATAATAAAATAAAAAAGACACCATTTTATTTGTCAACTACTTACAAAAGCATATGGGAAAAATAGAAAATAAAGCTTATAATTTTGTGAAAGCATATCAAGTAATAATTCAGAGTATTATTTTTTTAGATGTTGTAAATATAACTTAAGTTGTATTTAACCTGGAATATTCCTTTACAAAGTCCAAAACAGTATTTAGTAGTTCTCGTTTAATTATTGTATTTTAAACCTAAATTAATTGAATAATGCTTTTTAAAACAAATGAACGTAGTTCCGTCCTGTCTCCTGTAGTATTTTTTCTGAATTTGTTGTCTGACTGGATGCCTTGATTTTGGTACTTTTGTCCTCTATATTTAGGAGTACCCAACATTAGGGCAGCTTGTCGACAAACTGGTTGAAAACAATATCCTCCTCATATTCGCTGTGACCGACAATCAGAGACAGAACTATGAGGTGAGAAAAGAGCAAGGGATTTTTCTCTTCCATGTTTATTCATTTTAGGCCACAATGAGGCAAACAAAAGGGCATGTGTTTTTCTGTGTATGTGGAACCTGAGAGGACCTGTGAAGAAAGATATATCAGTGCGTGAATAGACTGCATGAATCACTAGTGTATTCAATTCTCTTTACAACATGTTCAAACAAAGTCTTTATCACATCACCCAGACCGACCTCTCATGACACAAATATTTGATGTTTTCTGAGTTCTCCTTTTCTTTCGTCTTCCCTCCCTTTCTCCTTATCGCTCTCCCACATCTCAAATTCTGTGGCTACTCTCCAGGAGTTTGGAGTTGATGTTTAACCACCTTCTGCCTTTCTGATAGAATTATGCAAGTCTGATTCCTGGTGCTACTGTGGGGGTGTTGGCATCCGATTCAAGGAACATTCTGGAACTCATCATGACCTCATATAAGGTACAAGAATGCATATTAGTCTTCACAAGACTCACTGTAACAAGGGTAATGTGAGAGTGTTCCTGGAAGGTTGATGGAAATGGCCCTATTAGGCAAACATTCACACATTTAATGGTCATGCACGTGTTCTTTATGCTTTGCAAACTTGAGCATTTGGATTTCTGCGGTCTTTTGAATGTTTTGCAAATTCTGATGATTTAAGAAAATGTTATTTAGCAGGCTGACACAGACAAGGTTTTGAGCGATGTAGTGATAGGAAGCAATAGTTAAAATGGGTTAATATTTTGCAGTATTTGACATCATTTTTCAGAAAAAGCTTTTGAATTCTATCTGTAAAATTCCTAGCTCCTATTGCAAATGAAAATTAAATTAGAAAAACAATATTTAAAATAAATATATACTGCATATATATATATATACTGTATTGAGGCCAGCAAAAAAAAAAAAAGATCATGGTAATTAAAAATCTGAATTCTGAGTTGGCCTATACACACACACACACACACACACACACACACACACTGTTAATCATTGAGGAAATATAAAAAAGCAGAAACCAAATGATTAATGAATAAGTTGCATAAATTACCAAATAATCATTGAGTGTGAGAGGATTACTTTTTGAGAATTATTTCTCGCGCAGCTATACATCTCATCTGTTCACCATTTCCCTTAACCCCCCTCTGCTCTTTTTCTTGAGAATCACTGTGTTCACAGAGCATGTCCGCACTAGTTCTACGGCTGTTGTTTGATCTCTTCATCTCCATTCTCCATCCCCCATTCTCTCTTACCTCTGCCTGTACTCTAATTTTCATTACACCCCTCGAGAAACTACCTGAGGGCTGCACATCCCGGCCTACCTGACACAGGCCCCCTATGGTGCCGTATTATGGAAGTGTAAAGTCTGTGACAAACCCCAGTAAATAAGCTAGAATAGACTATTTGAATTTGAAGTTGACGGTCTAAAATCTCTCTGGACGTGTTGGCACCTGGTGTGCTCGTATTGCTGACTCTGCACAGGAGTCATCCTGACACATGATGAGCTGCTCAGGTGCTTCATCTAACAGCTTACCACATACTTACATAACATTATTGAATTGTTGATCCTGACTGGCTGACACAGGGTTTGGATGATTTGTTTTCTATAATACCCAGCTCTATGAAGTACTCGATTCTGATCAAATGCAGCATTATATAATGACCACTAAACATGATTTCCTACATAGCTGTGCTAGTTTAATATCTCGCATGTCACTCTACTGTGATCTCACAAATGACATTTTTTATTTATTTGTTTTATTTTGTATTTTGCTCTGTTTTTGTTTTGTTTTGCCTAGCAAAAAAAAAAAAAAGCCTGTCATGTGTCAAGTATCTGTTCAATGAAATCACAAACGTGTCACACGCAAGTATGATATATAATGCAATGATTATAATGTTATTATAGGTTGTTGCTCTCATTGTGCTGTACATAACAGCTTTATGTGTTTAAACAAATCAAGCTGCTTGTCCGTTACAAACAAACCTCGCCAAACAAGTTGGACATGTTTTGAAAATATTTGCTCAATATGTTGCCCAATATGTCCTGATTTCTGTGAAATTTTTTTGAATCATACACAATTTCTCAAAGAAATTGAAACAAGAGTGATCTTTTTTCACTCAGGTATCTTTTAATGTTACGGTCGAGTTAAAAGGCTGTCTTGCTGGTCCACGGCACTTTTCCTTGCGGCCGGTGGGTTTCCAAGATGCCCTGGAGATCGAACTGGAGTCTCAGTGTGCGTGTGACTGTCATCAAACCCCTGAAGCGAACAGTGCCTACTGCAGCCGAGGGCGTGGGGCGCTGGAGTGCGGCGCCTGTGTGTGTGATCCAGGCTTTGTGGGGACGAAGTGTGAATGCACAGAGGGCCAAGAACAAATCAGTGACTGCAGGTGAGAACAAACATCATGGAGTGTTTCCTGCGGGGCACGCAGACATATTTTAATGTATGATTATGTGTGTGGCAGGGCACATGAAGGTGCGGAGATATGCAGCGGCCTGGGCGAGTGTTTCTGCGGACAGTGTGTGTGCCACCCGTCCAGTTTCGGTCGCGTGTATGGGCTGTACTGCGAGTGCGACAACTTTTCCTGCCTCAGGTTCAGAGGAGAGCTTTGTGGAGGTCAGTACCCAGTGTGACCCTGTCTCAAGGTTTGAGTGGAGGAAAAGAAAGCGCTGACACAGTGGGAGGGATATTTGATCTGCTCTTGCACTGTGGAATGTTAATGAAAGAATAACACGCTGATAATTGCCAAAACAGTTGCTGTACTCGGGAGGACACGGGCTGAAGGGTTTTAAATGGCCATCCCATGTTTGTATTTATTTACATATCGATGCGAGTGTGCAATGTGAGGTTTTTATATTTACTTTAGGGCTGTCAATATAGCTTGATAATCATAACAATTATCAAGTGTGATAAATTTTTATTTTTTTAAATTATTAAATTAATAAAATAATTCTGTAATAAGGAATTTTCTTACTATTGGATTCAAGTTTGAAGCTTTTGTCTTAAAAGTGTAATTTTTTCAGTATATTCTGAATCAGTATATTATGTAATTCATAAATTTATGAACTGACAAAACTGATTTATAATTAATAATTACTTTGTAATTTACTTGAATTTGTATACTTTTTTATTTATTTTTTACATTTTAATGTCTCATGCTCACAAAGGCTGTATCTCATATGCTCACCAAGTCTGAATTTATTTGATTAAAAATACAGTAAAAACGTTACTATTGGGAAATATCATTACAATGAATTTAAAATAGCTGTTTTCTATTTTAATATATTTTAAAATGTAATTTATTCCTGTGATGGCAAAGCTGAATTTTCAGCACCATTACTCCAGTCTTCAGTGTCACGTGATCCTTCAGAAATCATTCTGATATGCTGATTTGCTGCTCAAGAAACATTTCTTTTTATTATCAATATTGAAAACAGTTGTGCTGCTTGATATTTTTGTGGAAACTGTGATACATTTTTTTTCAGGATTATTTGATGAATAAGAAAAGTTCAAAACTTTTGTGGTATAAATGTCTTTACTGTCACTTTTGATCAGTTTAATGCTTCCTTGCTGAATTAAAGTATTAATTTCTTTTTTTAAAATTATTATTATATATATTTCCTGTATGTGTGTTTGTGTAGGTCATGGGGAATGTGACTGTGGCGAGTGTGTGTGTCACAGCGGTTGGATGGGAGAGTTCTGTAATTGCAGCACCAGCAACAACTCATGTGTGTCTCCGGATGGTTCCATCTGCAGCGGACGGGGCAAGTGTGTGTGTGGGAAGTGCGAGTGCACCGTTCCCGGAGCCTCAGGAGAGTGGTGCCAAAGGTGCCCAACCTGTGGAGATATCTGTAGTTTACCCAGGTAAAGACATCCATGTGCATCTGTGACTGAAGCTGAGTTTCATAATGAATATGCAGCATTTAAAGGCATTTATTTTGGCTACAACCTGGTTTGAATCATTGTGGGCCGTCTGATATTAGTAATAAGCAGTTCAAGAAATTGTGACACATTGTGTACAATAAACTGCAAAAAATAAATAAATAAAATTAAAAGAAAATCATGGGATAATAGTACTTTTTTTTTTTAAGTTTTGTCATTTTCATAATTTTATTATTTAAATGGCCTGATTGGAAGAATATTTTGTATAGTTTTTTATATAACTATTATCATTAATACATGTAAAGAAAATGTGTTTCTTATCGCTTGTTTTAAATGGATGCAGAGCACTTTCGGCTGTCATAATGTAGGTGCTAAATGAAATCCGTCTTTACATGACAAAAACTAACTAGTAATCCAACTTCCACTTTTATGCAATTAAAAAAAAAAACAAGACATCAATGTAATATAACTTGAGCATTGACACTGCATGTCTTCACCTCACCGCAACCTTTCCCTGTATTTTCCTCATGACTCTTGCGTTTGTGTGTGTGTGGGCAGCTCTGTGTGTTTTTATGAATCAGAATCAGAATGAGCTTTATTGCCAGGTATGTTTACACATACGAGGAATTTGTTTTCGTGACAGAAGCTTCCACAGTGTAACAGAATGACAGTGACAGAACAAAAAACACAGATAATAAAAAATAGAACAAGTAAATAAGGAATAAAAATATATAAATTGACAGTTGTATGTGCAGGTATATTACAATAGACAGTTTTTGTATGTACAGGTACTGTATATTATGTGCAAGTCTTCCTCTTGTCCACTCATTTCCAGTGGGCATATATAAGCACCAAAAGGCCTGTGGCAGCTCTGCAGTATTGCATTTCCTTCCCACTAAAGGTCCTGTCACCCTGTGGGTCATTTGACTCTGTGATAGAGCGATACAGAGAGATTGAGACTGAAAATGAAAGAGAGCAGCTCTGGAAAAAAAAATCACAAAGAACACGAAGCTTCCTCTAGAGACAAACTCTCTCGGTGGGCTCGACAGCTTTTTTTTATGTTGTCTTTGTGTCCCGCAGGTCTTGTGTGGAGTGTTACCTCAAAGCTAAGGACCCGTCGGACGAGTGTGCCGTAAAGTGCAACTCCCTACATGCCACTGTCAGCAATTCCACAGGTCAGAATCCATTGTTTTGTTCTCTGCAGTGTCCGTTTATCAGTGGTCACATGGTAACTTTTTGGCATTATTTACTCCCCTCACGTCATTCTAAACCTGTATATTACAAGTCTTCTGACTCTTATAGACAATTATATGATGCTTTCTATGGCAAGATGTTTTAACATTTAATCTATAAAATGTACTATCTATTTTCATGCTACTAGTAAAATTTTTAGCTAAAAGTATTTATTCCATTGGGTACTAATACTTATTTGTTGGATAGCCTACTAGTGCTTATACTTTAGGTACTACTAGTACCTTTAAAAAAACTAGTACTTATTCATTACATACTTGTACATATTTCAATAGTGACTAGTAACTATTCTGTACTTAACTATTCGTAACTATTCCTTACTAGCAACACATTTCAAATTTTTGCTATTGACTTCTATAGGGATCTGTCATTCAGATATCAGCTCTTCAGTTCTGACTAGTATGTATTGCAATTGTGACTAGTACAAATTTTGGTAACACTTTATTTTAAGGTGTCCTTGTTACACATGTTACATGTACTTACTATTATAATAACAATTAATTATGCATAATTACATGCAAGTAACCCTAAGCCAAACCCAAATGCTAACCCTAACCATATAGTAAGTACATGTAGTTAATTAATATTACTCGGTACTTAAATGCATAATTACACTGTAACAAGGACACCTTAAAATAAAGTGTAACCCACATTTTTTTTTTTTTCTAGTAGTTATTCATTAGGTACTACTACTTATTTGTTTTAAGATACTAGTACTTACAGTACTTAATCATTAAATACTAGTACTTATTATTAGATACTTGTACCTATTAAATAGATACTTGAATTTACTATTTATTCATTAGATATTAGTTCTTATTTATTAGATACTAGTACTTATTGAGTAGCTACTAGTACTTATTCATTAGGTAGTAGTACAATGTTTTTTAGATACTAGTACTTCTTCCAAATGTTACCAGTAAGATTTTTTATTTTATCAGTAAGATTTTAATTGAACCCTTCATAGGCCATTCTGACTAGTCATAACATAAGACAAGTTAAAAAACCGTTGTGACTAGTATAATAAGATTTGTTACTAGTAACAATTACAAAAGTTACTAATGTGTAATAAATAAGTACTTGTACCTAATGAATAACTACTAGTATATATTAAATAGGTACTAGTATATAATGTAAAGTAATAGTAATGCATTTAATAAATAAGTACTAGTATCTAATCAATATTTACTAAGTACTATGTAAAAAGATACTAGTCTCTGTTGGAATACATACTAGTCAGAGCTGAATAGTTGATATCTGAATGACAGATCTCTATTGAAGTCAATGGTAAAAATTTGAAATGTGTTAGTAGTAACAGTAGAATTGGTACTTGTCACAATTGAAATAATTACTAGTATCTAATAATAAGTACTAGTATCTTTAAAAAGTTACTAGTACCTAAAGATGGAATAGATAATAGTAGCTAACAAAATAAGAACTAGTAACATGAAAATAGATACTATTACGTTTTAATGATTAAATGTTAAAACGGCTTCCCATATACTTTCATGTTGATTTCTTCCAAAACCTCAAAATTTGTCTTCATATACTCCTTTACACACACATACAAAGCAGACATCTTTTAGTTCGGCCCTCTTGACACTTCAAAAAGGGAAACATGCTACTTAGCTTGTTGTGTGGAGAGCCTATTGTTGGGGCCCATTGGGTTTCAAAACCCTCGAGTGTCTATACAAGATCAGCCTATTATATGATCACAAGCCACTGGTGCTGTGGAGGCTGCCTCTATACTCTCTCTGACTGGGAGACAATCAAAAGACACAAAACACTGTCTGTCTTTGATAAAGACACAAGACAGACAAATGAAAGAGATATAAAGAGACTGAAGGGAATGAAAAAGACTGTATTTTTGAGAGGGGTAATATCATACATGCATGACATGGTACATATTTAAAGGGATTTGGAAAATATTAGCTTTAATTTTGAGGACAAAAATGTAGTAAGGGATCTGATTTTATCCATCAAGAGTTGATTGGATTGTGAAAAGGGGTTATTATAGGACATGTGGTTGGGAAGGAGGGGTTTAAAATATAAGAGGTCTTGGTGATGTCATCAGAAAAAAAAATAGTTTTAGAGGCGGACCTATTATTTTTTGATTAAGGATTCAATATTTGATTAAAGAAAACTTTGTTTTCTTTTTGATCATTCAAGACCATGTATTAAGAAAATAAAAAGGATCTATTTTGATTTTATGTTAAAATATTATATTTTTATTGTCAGATTTTGAGGAGAGTCGGGCGGCATTGTGCACCTTACAGAGTGAGGACCACTGTCTACTGTCTTTCAGCTTGGTGGACAGTGATCATGGCAGCATCATTTACAACCCCAAGCTTTATGGTGAGACAATTTTTTTTTATACATGAACATATATAGTTTAACTTAGAATAAAGTTACATTTTATTTTTTAAATTGTTTGTATAATTATCCTACAGACTGCCCTGAGCCGCCAAATGCTCCGTTGATCGCTCTGGGCGTGTGCATGTCTGTCCTCATTATTGGCATTACTCTCCTTGTGATCTGGAAGTTTCTTGTTTCTGTCCATGACCGGAAAGAGGTTGCCAAGTTTGAAGCAGAGAAGGCAAAAGCAAAATGGCAGTCGGTATGATAATATTATCAAGAGAGCATTACACAGAATTTTCCATTCATTTTAATGTGTTAAGGGCCCAGTTTACTTTAAATAATTGTGTGTTCGTCCATCTTTTATCCCCAGGGCACAAATCCTCTTTTCAGGAGCTCGACATCAACTTTTAAAAATGTGACCTACAAAAGCGCAGGGCAGCAAAAGACTTATATTTCTTAGGGTTACTGACCAATTTTGTGTGTTGAAACACAGAAAGTAGGCTTCTATTTACCAGGAGCGATTACTGTTTTCTTCTGTATTATTTTATTTTCTTGTACTGTACAAGTGAGACACTGTGTGTGTGCGTGTGTGTGCTTGTGTGATTGTAAGCTGGGGTAAGGACTGTCAATTACTCGCAGTGAATTTATTTTAAAAACTGTAAATAATTTTACTGTGTTGTGCTGCTAAAAGTGCTAAAGGTACTGTTAAATCTGGGCAACACTGGATCTTCTTGTTTTACATGTAGCGTTTCTTGTTGTTAAACAAAATGTTTTTCTGTAGTTATTTGTGACAGATGTTTGTGATTGGTTAGTTGAGGCTGAGCCTTTTGTAATTAGATATTATGATTTTGCTGGATCAAATGTAAAAAAAAAAAAGTCAGTCTACTTCTTTTTTTGTAATATTTTTGGTGGTTTTCCATAAAAAAGGTTATCACATTATTTCGTTAAATACATCTTTACACAGTCAAGGTAAGGCAGTGTTAATAATTTCATATTTAAAATAGTCATTTCATGAGACTTTTTCTGCAACTGTAATTCCTGTGTAAATACATATATGACACTTCGTGCAGTGTAAATTAATCTTTTCGTGGAATATAAAGCACTGCAGCTTCTGTGTTGCATTTTGCAGTGCAGTGAGTTAAAAACATGATCTGTATTTTTAATGTAACATTTAATATACTTATTGCCTAGGGTGACCATACGTCCTCTTTTCCCCGGACATGTCCTCTTTTTGGACCTACAAAAATGCGTGCGCTGTAGTGCCGAAATTTGCACCCTGCCATTTTATGCACCCCCTAGTATTGGTAGGTTTAGGGGTAGGTGTGGGGGAGGGGTTAGGATTAGGGGTGGGGTTGAGATTCCCCCAGGTAGCGACTTCAACTAATAATCTGGCAGAGGTGCAGAATTCCGCACAACACTGGCCGGGTTTTCTTAATCCCGCTCCCGCTGAATTTCTGACCGCAACATGTGTTTCGCTCCCGAGATTTTCGTGCCCACTCCTTTAAACATTCTAATATTGTATATAATTTTGGGCATCAGGGAGCTGTTCTCAGGCTGCGGTGTATTTAAATATTTTTGAATGAGCGTTTGCGCCGTTTACTTTCACTTTCGATTTCGCGATCACAGGCACTCTGTGTAAAGGGAGCACATCTTACAAGATCAGATATTTGTCAATGAGCTCAGGATCTGTTGAGCAGCAAATACTCCAGCATGGTCTTGTCAGTCATCTCTCCTTATTCTCGACCTGTGATCAGTCAAAGCTAACTCCGGTAGCGCTTGTTGGATGCAGGGTTGCCAAGTCCG